CAGGGGGAGTGACTGCTCTTTTAGTCTATGTGGACGACATCATAGTGACTGGAAATGATGAGAAAGAGAAGCATGAATTGAAGCTGAGACTAGTAAAAGAATTTGAAACAAAGAAACTGGGGAAATTGAAGTACTTCCTCGGTTTTGAGGTGGCATATTCCACACAGGGGATCTTCATATCTCAGCAGAAGTACGTGATTGATTTATTGACAAAAACAAGGAAGACTGGGTGTAAACCAATCGCTACTCCAATAGATCCAAACTATAAGTTGGGAGAAGCTAAAGAAGAACCAGCTGTGGATAAAAGAATGTACCAGAGATTGGTTAGCAAACTCATATACCTTAAGTATGATCAGTCAATTCCTGCATGATCCTAGAGAACCTCATCTTCAGGCCGCCTATAGGGTACTGTTTTACTTGAAAGGCAATCCGGGGAAAGGAATCTTGTTCAAAAGGAATGATACTCTTACTCTGGAAGCTTTCACCGACGCTGACTATGCTGGCTCCATAGTGGATAGAAGATCAACTACAGGATGTTGTACTTTTCTTGGAGGTAACCAAGTGACATGGAGGAGCAAGAAGCAGAATGTAGTGGCAGGGGCATCTGCAGAATCAGAGGTCAGGGGTATTGCTCACGGGTTATGTGGAATTACTGTGGCTGAGAATCATCTTGGATGATTTAAGAATTCCATGGGATGGTCCTATGAAGCTCTACTGTGACAACAAGTCTGCCATTAATATAGCTCATAATCCTATACAACATGATAGGACAAAGCATATTGAGATCGATAGACATTTCATGAAAGAAAACTGGAGGAAGGGTTAGTGTGTATGTCTTATGTTCTATCAGAAAGACAATTAGCTGATGTTCTAACAAAGGGGCTAAACAGTTCAAGTTTTCATGATCTTGTATCCAAGCTGGGAATGGAAGACATCTATTCCTCAGCTTGAGGGGGAGTGTCGAGATGTGACTGAAATGAAAATAAAGTTGTGAGAATTAATTCTAATTTCCTTAATTATTCTAATTTTCTTAATTAAGGAAATTAGAATTAATTGATAAATCTCTTAAATTAAGGAAATTAGAATAAATTTGTAATCCCTTAAATTAAGGGAATTAGTTAAATAATTTTCTAGTTTTTTTCCCCTTCTCTTCCTATATAATATCTTGTATGATCAATTCAAAAGGAGGTGTGAAATAAAAATTATTCCTTTGATTTCCCACAAAAATTACAATCGACTCACGGAAAACTAAAATTACAACAATTGACAACACAAACCCAAGCTTTGGTTAGATCTGGGGGTGGTGGTGGTGAACAACAAAGATTTGGGTCTCCTAAGAGGTAACAAAGGGTGGTTAGAGTGTGGGAGAGTGGGGCGGCAGCAAAAGGGGAATGTGGTGAGCTGTGGCGGTGATATAAGATGGTTGGGCAGTGGCAACACATCAAGGTGATGGAATTGCTGGATTGCTGCAGCGATGTAGGACGGCTGGAAAGGCTGGAGGAAGGTGTTGGGATGGATGAGCAATGCTATTCAACAAGGCGAGGCTGCGACAATGAGGCAGAAGGCTAGGAGGAGGTGGTGGAGGGTGCTAGGATGGATGGAACAACAACGGAAGTAATAGGGAGGGCTGGAATTGCAGCGGTAGTAGAGAGGGAATGATGGCGATTGCGATGGGGGATGCATGGGACTCCCAAACAGCAAGAGGATAGTTGTCCGGGTCGGCGACAACAATGATAGGGAGTTGAAATTGAAAAACTAAAGTGAAAACAACAGATAAGCGTTGTTTGGGGGCATTTGTAACAATGCAGGGCGATCGAAAGCGACATGGGGCGTATGCAGAAGGGGATGCAGAAAATAATCACTATCTTCAGAGCGAGATACAACCATAACACTACTCAAACTCTTGTATACAACCCTCAAAAGATGGAGACGCCGACAATCGTCTCGAATAGAAAACATGACAAAAAATGTAATCCAAATCCTAATACAACACATATTGGAAATGACTAAAAAGGGAGGAAAAGAATGTAGAAAAATTGCTAAAAATTAGAAAGAAATTGAATGATTGATGTTTGGTTCAGCTCTGCGCCTCTCACGCGACCCTGAAGCCACATCAGCTTCAACAACAGGAGACATTGGCGTTAGTCTCCTGCTACCCCATCTGTCGAAGCTTTTGCCTGCTCGAAGTATGGAGTCAGATCAGGCACATTAAAGGTAGTAGAGCTGTTGCAATTTCCTGGTAAGTCAATACTATAAGCATTGTGATTCCAAAGCACATTCTGATATAATAAGTATCGACCCTCTTTTGGCACAAACAAAACTTGAACTGCAAGTGGATGAGCATTCTCTCGAGCCAAACTTAGTGCCATTAAAATTGTAATTGGCTTCTTCTACTTCTTATACTCGTCTAAGCATACCTGATAAAGAAGTCTGTAAGGAGGATTTAACTATGAGATGAAATCTATTGCAGGCCTAGAACTCCTAATTGCAACCACTCAGGAGATGTTTTTTTTTTTTTTCTGTTAGGACCTGGAATGTATAGTAGGATGTTTTATCCTTCAAAGATCTTAAGACAATTTTCAACGTTGTGGTTCATCTATATTGTCTGATCATCTGTTGGCGGGTACATTGCTAAATTGATTTTAATACCAAATGATTCTATATAGCCTTCCAAATGTGACACAAATGTGTCTCATCTTTGATATGTACCTTCATCAGTTAGGGCATTTGAGGAAGTTGTCTATATATTTGGAAGTTTGAAATTCTCTTATCTAGAGATGCATTGTGTCTGGTAAAGGCTCCTCTTGGCCTTTTTAGACATTTACTATCAATCCCGTTGATGCTCTTTTCAACACCTACAAAAAAAGGTAGTTCGAACATACTCTATATAAATTCCCATTACTTCAAACTCACTATCTCTTAAAACAACCCCGACAATCTAGTTAGAGTCCGTCATGGGTTTTTCTTGAATCACTATTATTTTTTTATTCATTGGCTTCGAGTTGAAACTCATTTATGATGTCTTCATCATTTTCGATGTCATTTTCTATTTCTTTAACTGCTCCCCAATATGTGAAATAAAACATTCTTCTGGTTGCGTATTCTAAGTCAATATGCCCAAATTTCTGGTTTTGGAAACACTTATAGTTAGAATGAATTTGGGAATACAAATTGGTTCCACTTATTCTCCACTCTGAACTAATGTTCCTCAGGTGGGATTTGTTTGGATGTTCTTTTGGGTGTATTCTTCCTGCTTGATCCTGAGGATGAATTTTTTTTGTGAGATGTGACGGTCATCCGGGGTGTTGCCTTTCCACTTTTGAAGATAGGTTCTGAATATCTTGTCTGTAATAAATTGATAGGTACTGATATTGCATTTCTCATTTCATCTTGGACCATATAGTAATTTCACTCTTCCCTTCTCATTTTCGAAGAATCTTCAAGCTCTCCCACCAAAAAGATGCACTCTTCCTTAATTTGTATGCATTTAGTTTCACCATTTCGTTCGGTGGAACGTCATGACACTCATAAACATGTTCCAATATTTAGAGTCACTCGATGGACTCACCAGATTCTTGTGGTCGTCAAAATATGACAAATTCATCTTTACTTCAAAATCTCTGTAATCCAATATTTCATGCCAACTCTTTATGGTCAATAATTTTTCATCCCTGAAATCGAATGGTGTTTGGATGACCTTTGGTTGGTCTTCTCTCGATAGCGGTGGGCCTCCATTGCAGTTGGAGGATTTCCTAGTGCATATCCTCACTTTAAATTTCTTAGACACCTCTTTGCAGATTTCTCATGAGCAACATCGTGGTATTTCCTTCTAATCAAGTCTCCGACAAGTGTCTCTTTGGTGGCGTAATTAGGGTGTAGGTGTAGGTGTAGGTAAGAAGGGTGGATGGATGGTTTGAGTGGGAGGGAAGACGAAATTTTTTTTTTTGGGGAGTGTGGGCTGATTTCGGTATCATTAGGATAGGACCAACGTTAAACTCATTCTGATACTAATGATACATGAGTTAACCTAAACAATAATAGAAAAAAATCATTATTGTTGAATTCAAATAGAAAATTACAACTGACTCATTGGAAATTGAAATTGCAACAATTGATAACACAAACCCAATATTATTTCAGATTGAGATAGTAGATTCACATCCAAACTGGGGAGGAAAGTTCAAGTGGTTTTAGGTACTCAATTGACATTCAATACAACTTTTTATCCCCAAAAAGACAATCGCCAAATAGAACGATCCAAATATTGAAAGACATGCATTAATTTTGTGCTCTTGATTTTTGTGGAAACTGGAAAATGCACATACTTCTAATAGAATTTGCCTACAATAACAGTTTCTAGATCAATATTGGTATGACTCCTTATGATGCCCGTAATGGAAGAAAATGCAAGACATCTCTTTGTTGGGCAGAAATAGGTGAAATGAAATTAATTAATGTTGATTTAGTTGATGAAACAACTAACATGATCCGATTGGTTCGTTACAAGATTGAAAGCAATCTAAGATAGTTAGAGAAAGTATTATAACGTTAAACACCAATCAGTGAAATTTAAAGTGGGATAATTTGTTTTTCTAAAGATCAGTTCGATGAAAGGTGTTAAGTGGTTTAGAAAGTCTGGAAAGTTGGGTCCACGATATGTTGGTACGTATGAAATCGTGAAAAAGATTGGGAAAGTGGTTAATAATGTACATAATGTATTTCATATCTTCTGACTGCGGAAATATATTGTTAATGAGACTATTAAGCTTTTTACATACCACATGGACGTTCAACCTGATCTGACATTTATAAAAGAACCAGAAAGAATCATAGATTATGACGTGAAGCAACTCAAGAGAAGAGAGTTTCCTTTTGTTCGTGTATTATGGAAGAACGAGATTGAAAAAGATGCTGTTTGGGAGTAAGAATCAGAAATGAGAGATATATCCATAGCTTTTCAATTAAGGTATGAAATATATCCTTGTTCTTTAAATTTCAAGGACGATTTTTTTTAAGGATGGGAGATTATTATAATAACCAATTAAAAATTTTATTAACTTAAAAAATAAACTGAATTGACTTATTACAACACCTTGAAGCGGGTATTGTTTGGGTATCACTTCCACCACCTGCAACAAGTATAGGAGGGCTTATTTTCTTATTTCCTTCTATTCGACACCACAAGATCAACGAGCAAGAGATAGCGTCAGGATAAAGGGAAAGAAATCAAGAGAAGAAGTAAGAAAGCAAGAAGAAGAGTAAAGAAGAAAGCGAAGAAGAACAAGAGAGGAGTGGGAAATTTCAAAACCACGAGAGCAAGGTACTTTCCACGCTTGAGAGACACCTTGTTCCTCCATTTCCTCACCGGCCTAGTGCAAAAAGCTCGAGCAACATGCAGATAGGGTTTTCTTGTGAAGGGAAATGCTCGACCGAGCAACCACGCTCGTTGCAAAGCTCGAGCTACTCGAATAGGGCTTCTTCATGCGTCATGATCGTCTGCGAACGAAGAAAAGAGGAAGGGAATACTAAGCATTTTTCTCTGTCGTGCGGCTCTCGGAGAACTCGATCGAGCATATCCAGGGTATGGAAGCAAGAGACGACTCATGAGAGCTTTGCTCATGGGCATGAGATGCTCGACGGTGAGTGAGAGGAGGGATTCATTGGGCTTGCAGGGTCATTCGACCGAGCTCTACATATTTCACAGAAATTGGGTGAGGCAGTGAGCGTCAGAAAGAATTTCGAGCTTAGGCAAGTAAGGTGAAAGTTAATTTATCAAATATAATTCCAAATAAATTCAGTTAATTTTAGAAAATCTTCAATTGAAAATGACTTAATATCGCTAAAATTTATGTATGAAGTTTGGCGAGCGAGTTAAAGCAAAAGAAGAAGATGAATTTCGCGTATAAAGTCAAAATTTTGTATTTAATTATTATTATTTTTATTAATTTGTATGAAATTATGAAATAAGATTAAAAGTATTATTAATCTTCTTAGAATATAATTAATTGAATTATAAATTGTTATTATATTAATGAAATTGGTTAAGATTAAGAATAAATTAGAAAGCATTTATAGAAATTAATAATAAGTATTGATTTAATTAGATAAAAAGATAAATGAAATTTTCTAAATAATTAGGTTAAAATTCTTGTGAAAGAGGGACAAAATTGATAGAATTAATTAAATCTGATGTGTTATTAGAAGCTAATTAAACCTTATCTGTTATATAAGTTTACAAAAGAGATTTGGTTGATTTGAGGAAAAGAATAATCTGACTGCATCGTAGAGGTGAGTAAATATGTTTTTATTTTATAATATTCCTGTTTATTTACACGCTTACTATTTTCCAGCATTTGATTTAAAATGCAAAAGTTCATATTTTTTTTAAATGTTAATTGCGAGAAAAAGGTATGATATATGCATTTATGTGGGAGTCACATTTGAATGGTGCTCGGAAGGGATTACAATGTATCCGTACACATAAATGGAAATTAAAATAAAAATTGTTGTTTACCTTTATGGTGGTTTGAAAAGTGTTAAACATATATATATTTTTAAAGTATA